CTCGGAGTAGCAGTAACAGGTGGACTGTGTGGAACAATGAATTGTGGTGTAGAGGGTGTAGATGGTGTAGATGGTGTAGAGGGTGTAGTAGGGGTGGGAAGAGACGGAGAAGTCCTCTTGGCTGCATCCAAAGTCATTGGGTGAGGACTACCACACCCATACAGACTGCGGACAACATCGATAAGATGATCATTAGCAAATATTATCAGTCACCAATGTCTTGAAAAACAGAAATGACCCAGGCAAAATCAGGAAGATCAGGAAAACACACATAGGTCGGCTTCAAACTTTAAACCAACGGGTGTAGATGACAACCAATCCAGAGTCTTAGTTTGTCTCTGAGAGTCTTCATGGCTCATAGTACTGAGTCAAGGTACTTGCCTGGACAGAGAGCTGGCGCCAAAGGATCCTGCACTGGGGCCCATGGGACTGCCACCGAGGCTGGAGGGCTGCACCAGTGTCAGTCGGTGGTCAGGAGATTTGGCTGCTGCAATTGGCTGAGAGGTGGCGGTCAAGCTTGCAAAGGGGTTGTGGACACGTGACTGGGTGGACATCATTAAGACTTCCATCAGAATCTGGCCGATGAGGTCTTTGAAGTCAGAGTATGCTACAGAAGGAAAAAAAAAAATCATAAACAGTTAAGTTACCAAATGCAGTTAAACAAAATGTTCAAATTTATATAGGTCAAGATACTGTTCTTTAACGCACCATCTTTATGGTTCTGGTGGAACTCTGCAGACAGTGAAGGGAGAAAGATGACATCTCTATCCTGTTCCTTCCACGATACGCGGAGGATCTTACAAATGAGCTGCAGAGCCTGTTCTTCGGAGACATCAGAGTTTGCAGAGGTTTCCTGGAAAAATGAAATAGAGAGACAACAGTAAAGGTTTGAACACACTCCAGAGCCATTTGCAGCGTAAATGTCATTAGAGCCTGCATAACTTTGATTGTTATTATAGTAATCATCTCATGATCTCCCTGGTCTATCAAGACACAGGTATGTAGGAGGGAGTGGAAATAAATAGCATCGGTGGAAAGTCCCCTATCACTTTCCTGTAAATACCGAAAGACTGCTATAGTGTTTAAAAACTCACTTGATCTGAAGATGTTGCTGCTGTTTACCTTATCTGTCAAGTTCCTCTTCTCCCTGCGATCGCTGTCCTCCACCTCCATGTTCTCTATCCCTGAGTCCACATCCACCTGGGACATGCTGGAATAAAAAAAAGAGGGATGCAGTGCTCATTAAGTCTCTTCAACCCTAATCAGACCATACTAACATGCAAACTTCAATGATCCACTTGACGTGTCACATCATCTCCTTTACAAAAATCTTATTCATCAGATCTTGTAAACATTGTGGCCTTGATGTGAAAATCTATATTCTATTTAACAATTGATATAAACCAAAAAAAGAAAAAAATGAAACTTCAAAAATGAAAGACAAAATCTTTATTAATTTATATCATAAGAAAGCTCTGATGATCATTGCATTTCTGTGTTCATTATGTGATGAGTGTCCCTTTAGTCTTTTTTGGGTTGAAACCTGAATATCTGTCACTATTAGAATCTGTTATATCTGATATAATTACAGTTATATAATTACACAACCTCTGTTCTACATTATGGAGGCAAAATATTTTTTACAGCAACCTTCCTTTTTCCCCCACATAGCTTACCTCTTTTCACAGGAGGCAGTGTCGATGTCCATGCTCTGCGATCGGGACAAACTCTGGGACTGAGTCTCAAGGCTGTTGGAGGGGGAGCTGGAGAGGGAGCTGACCCCCTCGCTGCTCTGACTACCATACGCCACCCCTGCAAAAGAAACACACCACAACTGAGCACCTCTGAAGCACAGAAAAAGGGATAATAATTGATCATAATATTTTGACATAAGTCTTAATTAAATATGTGTTTTTCTTATGTGCCTGGTGTCAAGTTCATGCTGACAGTATCTTAGTTTAGGACCCCACTAAAAATATTATACATTCAGTTTTATCTCATTCTTTGTCGGGTTTTACTCCATCATGTCTTTTTATATTCATCCACTTATAATGACTTTTAATTCATTTGTACTGTGTGTTTTTTATAAATCTTAACTATAATTGTAATTATTGGTTTATTAAAGAAAACAGACCATTTACTATAACACTATATAAACCTCAGACTGGATTAAGCAACTATTTAAAGCTTTATATTTGATGCAAGGGTTGTTTTTTATGGAAGAAGCCTCATTAAGTTACACTGGCTCAGATTGGTGTTTTTAAGATCAACGTGGTGTGCCATACCATTATAAGCCCCCATTACTGCAAACACGCGAGAAAGCTGATTAACACCAAGGATCTTACTGAGGACGAAGGGCTAGAATCAACAACTCTCTCCTGGATGCACGACAATCATATCATTACCAACTGTGAACTCAAATAAACACTGTGTACCCTTGTGTTGTGTCAAACAGAATATTATTAACAAGCACATCGATATGTGGCGAAGGTTTGCATAACTGCAGTGGAGGAAATCATAATATTGAATAAATTCTGAAATGTAGCAGTGGCCTTAAAAATGTACCTTTGTATAACACCACCACCACATCTATGCATACAATGACATGAAACTGGTGCTGCATCCATAAATAGCAAGTGCATTTTCTAGAGCATCCACAGGCAGAAACAACAATTCCCACTCTGTACAGCAGGGCCTACACCTGGTACCAAACAGGGACACTGTGCTCACAACAACCTGCTGCTGTTTTTATCAGTCAAGATGTGTGGCTGGTTCTTTCTGTTGAAATATTAGTGTCACAAATATAAAGGTTCCTTTCAGTATTGTGTACAGGCTGAATCAAACAGGGATCTTTATCTTTAAAGCCTCAGAGACAATGTCTTTCAGTACAATAGTGTAGGATGATAAGGTTAGACTACAGATCACACAAGAAGCCAACAATTAAAACTCTGTGGTGACAACCAGGCTAAGCTGCCTGAATCCTGATCTGTGGTCAACATCAAATCATAAGTATAGCCTGCGATAACAGCAATTAAGGACAAATAGGTCCTAAAAAAACATGTAGATATTATTCAGTTCTTACCAGAAGTGCCCATAGGGGATGTGGCAGGGGTACCAATGTGGACATTCAGCCCCAATGATTGGGAGGCAGCTGGTGGCAGGGGCTGGGGTGCGGCACCTGAGGGTCCATGGAGGGGTCCAGGTGGAGTCTCTCTCTGTGGGGATGTCAGGGGTGTGCTAAGAGGGGTGCTGGGCTGTGACGTCTGTCCCCCTGCCAGTCGGGCCAGTCGCCTTCTGCGAATCTTGAACAAACACACCAAAGGAATTTTCATATTCAGTCAAAGTTTGTTTAAAAAAATGTAGAATATTTAATTATTTGTGAATATTTATTTATTTTAGGATAAATTATGTTGAACTGTTAACCTTGGCAAAATAAGAAATGATTGATGATTTCATTTTAAGTGATTGTTATATTTTTATTTGATTAACATTATCCCCAGACAAGACGCATCATAAAGAACTGGTCGGTTTTAAAACAACATCTCTGGAGTTAAAAAACAGCAAAACAGAAACGGAAACAGAAACAACACAACCTACATCACGAACAATGTCAAATGTGACCAGTGTTCGTCACAACTCAGCTGAGCTTCACAAATCTGACCACGAGTTTAAATACGGGTTCACGGTTTCCAAGAGAAAGGAGTTTGTACATGAATGTAAGGGGTTCAACAAGATCCGCTGGGGGACCACTGAAGTCGGCCCACAGTTCATTGCACAATGGTGGCCCGGTGTGTTTTTTATGCTGAGTCGTCTCACAGGCTAATTTTTGACTGTTAGCAAAACAACATTAGCGGCTGTCTTTACCGCAAGAGGATCAACCAAACCCAACCGATCAGTCAAGAAAGAATATAACATAACCTGTTCAAATACAACGAGTAAAATGAACACGATAGATTAAACGATCTGATGCGTGTTTCGTTAGAGCTTAATTGAGTTACATAAAGCCGGTGTTATTCACGGGTCAGCTTGTGAAAACCCCCCAGTGTCACGTTAGCTAGTTAGCATTGTGCTTCTCCGGCTAAACTCAAATTAGCCTACTAGCAACCGTGACACAAACATTCACGTCCAGGTCTGTCCTCTCCTTTGACTGATCGGTGTGTCGTAAATGAACGCAGAACAGGTTATGCTCGCTCACACACACAGGTTAAAGCTGCTGTTGAAATAAATTCGTGATTGGATTTGTCGCGGATGCAATTTTCTTTTGAATTTAAACTGAGCTAGCTCGAATAGCTTATCGGCTTGTAGCAGCACAATTTAACTTGAAGTCAGAAGAAAGGACATTTTAAAATCAGAGAGTCAATTGTTATGTCTGTTCACTGAGGATATACTTTGAATCTGGAGCTTTTTCTTTCATTGTCACCTTACCTCGTCTGCGCTCAGTTCCTCCATCGCAGCTAAGTTAGCTAGCTATTTCACTTTCAACTGCCTCACTGTGTGCCAGCCAGAGCCAGCTAGCTAGCCTGTTTTGGGACTAAATATGCATAGTCGAAGTCGTTGAACGAATACGTGTCAGTCTTGATTGTCTTCAAGATAGAAACGAGGACAGAAGTGTGCGGACGTCGGTGAGACACGGTTCCTCTTGAAAGTCTCTCGTTTGCTGGTTTTCTAGGCAGAGTGTAACAAAAAGAAAAGTAGCTGTCTATTATACGTCAAAATACAACAGCGGCCATTTTGGTTCTACAGTGCGTCACGTGACTTAAGAGCACAGGGGAGTTGTGTGAGGACTCACTGTGGCACATATACTCTTAACTTATAAATAAAGACGTTTCTCTCAGAAGACAACGACACACTCTGTTTTATTCATTCAACTAAAAGTGTGCATGAACCAGCAATCGGTTTTATTGGACTCACTTCCTGACTGGGATGAATAATAATAATAATAATAATTTATTTCACAAAAAAGAAAAGAAAAGAAACAACTTGCTTTAGAACACTTCAGATTCTTTTCAAAACCATTTTTATTTCACAAAATTCCAAAACAAGATTTTATTCCAGACATAATGCACCTCACTTTTGCTGCACATTGAGTATTTGCATAAATCTGAGATTTTGATTTGACATATAGCTCAACCAAATGCCAGAATAAGAGCAAAAAGCCACCTCAAAGAAAATGCATATATTGTGTATATATATTGTAATTTGTACAAAAAAGGTTTCTGAGAAACAAAAAGTTTCAGAGGCTGGTTATACAGGCTTTTTTTCAGCCAGCTGAAAGGTGCAATAAACATGCCTGATGCTCTTCATTCTGTATATTTATTACTTGAGGCCAGCACCAGCAAGCTACAGACCTGTGTAGTCTGACTAAAGTAATGCAGGGATGCCATCTACTGGTGTATATCCACACTGATGTCTAGTTACAGAGAAAATACCACAACCTGAATTTTTACAACATTTCTTTTGTTGTAGTTCAGTGAATCTGACACACAGTGTCATTCATCACCTAATACAACTCTCTGTCTTCTTCAGTCCGACGCATTCTTCTTAAAAACCTGCTTGCAGACTTCTCCTTCACAGTACAACTCCTGTGGGCAAAGGGTCACAGAAATATTGAATTACTGCAATGTCATAACATTGTACAAGAAATATAAATGTGGGTAAGTTATTCAGTATTTAGTTTTGTGTTTTATGTAGAATTGCCTGTGTTTATATTCTTACCAGATGCAGCTTGTTGTCTTCGATCCAGTGAGTCCAGCCACGGCCGTTCTTCTCTCCACTTTGTTCACACACCAGTTTATTCCCCTCCCATGTCACCTGTGACTGCAGAGAGTGAGACAGGGATTAAACCACAACACAGAGCAGGTTCAGCAGCCCAATACAAGTTAAAACACATTACGAAACACGTGCAATCATTTTGTCCCATCCATCCTCACCTTCATGTGTCTGTTGTCCAGTCCCTTGGTGAACTCCTCAAACTCCTGGCCCACCAGAAAGGAGAGAGTGTAAGTTCGGAGGGGGCTTAGCGTTTTGATGATAAAATGGTCTCCCTGCTGCTCAATCATCTTCTTCAACTTCACCTTCAGAGCAATTTTTCTTAAGCAAGGGCTGATGCCTGAAATAGCAGAGTGGTGTTTTGCCTGAATTTACAAATCTTCCTTGACAAACTCACCCAAAGGCAACAACCCACATTTTCTCCCTCACATTGTCTCATGCATACCATAAATAGCACTGATACAACAACACAGCCAAATGTGTTTTTTCCCAGATTAGCAATGCATCTCAAACCCAGGGCTGTATTTAATCTTGTATTATGTTGTATCTCCATGCATTTCACAGCACAATTCGACTTTTACAGATTGAAATGCAAATATCTCAAGTCTTTCAATACACAGAATAATGTTTGAATAAAATAAAAGGTTTTCAGGTCTTACCCAGTGCAATCATGTAGCCCTCAAAGTTGACATTGCTGATGATGTCCCATGTGCCACAGAGGCTGGTAGGCATTTTGTTGACCCCTTTGATTCCTCCTGAGATGTGCGTGTGAATACAATGTGATCCTCAAACTTCTTCTGGGGTGATGAGTCCTGAAAAGAGGCTGAGACTATTCTGTTTTGTGAGAGACCTGCAGGAATAAAGTCAGGAGTGTCCTAAAATCTCATTCGCTCATGTGAGGATGAGGGCGGGACTCACACCAGTGCCAGGGTGTAAAAAGGGGGAAGCCAGACGTGTCCGACTGGTTCCACTGTGCAGTTCCCTGTAATAATAAATAAAGTCACAGATCGAAAGGTCACACCTGCACACAAACTTAGTTGACACACACGTGGAACAAGCTCCCAGACAACTGGAAGTGCAACTCCCAGTTCTTTAAAATCAATGCTGAAGTCTTTCCTGTTTGCCACAGCCTTTTATTAAATCAAATATTTACTATTTTCTTACACAGTTATACATTTTTTTTCACCTTACTTTTATTTCTTATTATTTTATCAGTTTATTAATATTTTTTTTTATTTCTTTCTAAATGCTTTTACATTTTCTCACAATGCCTGTCATATCTTATAAAGCACTTTGAACTGCCTTGCTGATTTCCCACAAAGATTATTTAAGATAAATTGCTATTAAGTTTTTTCTTTTTTATCCAACACATTTCAAGAAACAGTGGATAGATGTGCGTACACTGTATGAATCTAGCAACTCAAAACCTTTATGTTAAAAACCAAGAATACAGCAAAAGATGGATAAGAAACAAACTGAAGCAGTAAATATTCATATTTCAATTCAAATGAGAAGTTTTTTTCATGTGTGTGTGTGTGCAGTTTGATGAACATGACAAACATCTGCATACAAGGTCAAAAGAAGTTAACATTGGCAGTTACTTTGTGTGTGCGTGTGGGGAATGTTTTGATTCGTCTCCATTTTGACCAGAAATCAAACACATTGTCAAACACACAAGATATGTTTTCCTCCTTCCGTCAACTGCTCACAATGTTACTCACAAAAACTAGTTCGGGTTGTTTTCCGGCCAGGACGCTGCATGTGCGCAGATTCTGTCTTCAGCATGTGAGAGAGATATCAAACATACAGTAGCTTGTGTTTGACTGAGAATCAGCCACAGTCTTAACCCCTGATACTTTGCATTGGACCTTTTAATATTCAGGTTTTTGATCTTATCCATTATTCAATACCATTATTGCAACAATAAAAGGCAAATTAATTATGCACCAACTCTGATACTTATGTGATGTAATCAGGCATTGTTTCATTTAAACACAGCTCTCAGAGTGAATCTTTTAAGTCAGTTGCAATTTGCAAATTCAGCTGTTGATGATTACCCCGAAAGTTGAGTTAACTGTTGTGATGAGCAGCATCTTAATCAAAAACCAAAAGGTGTCAATTTGGCACTTCCTTCCCTGAGGATGTTGGGATTGACAATAGTATCTTAACAACAATGAAGGGCTCAATGTGGACAACAAAGAGGAATGTTTATTTGATTTGCAGTGAATACAAATCGCACCTTCATTTTTAGATCTGCAGCACCATGTAAAGATTTGAATGAGTTGAGAAGTGGAAAAATTAAAAGTGATAAAGCAAATAAAATGGTTTGCATTTTCTTTTTCTTTTTTTTCATATTGTCTAGCACCAAACATTCATGTATGTGGGCTGTATCATACAAAATAGTGAATCCATAACGACACAGCAGATTAATATACTAAAATGAACAAGTTCAGCTCGATTATCCTTGATAATAATTGACTCCAGGACATTTATACACAAGTCAATCTAAAGAAAAGTGTAATAATAATAGCACTTATCAAAACGTGGTTAGAATGTGCTTCACAAATTAAAACAATCAGATAAAACACAAAGATAAAGAAGAGAATAAAAGAATAAAAGAATAAAAACTGAACTCAGGTCAAATCTGGTAAAGCAATGTGATAAAAATGTGTTTTGAGCATAGATTTTAAAAAGGCCACTCACTCCGGTACTAAAATCCCTTGGGTGGGATGATCCAAAGCCTTGGGGCAATTATCTCAAAGTCTGTGCCCCGTTGAGTCTTGAGTTTGGGACAGACAGTAGACCCTGGGGAGTGCAAACAGGGTTATACAGGGATAAAAGATCTGAAATATATTGTGGAGTAAGCCCATGTGGTGCCTTGTAATTAAAAGTACCATAAAATCAATTCTACAATGTACTGGAAGCCAGTGTGATGAGGCTAAAACTGGGTGTGCAAACCTGCAAGCTCTGTTTAAAAGCCTGGCAGCTGAGTTCCGTTCACTCCCCACTTTGCTTGTCAGGCCTCTGCTGTACATCAGAGCCACACGAGCTCACAGGGAAACTGACCAACTGTTTGTGTTTCAAGCAGGAGTGTCTGTGTTGACCATTGTCAAAAGTAAAAGTTTCTCGATGGATCACAGAGGTGATTCAGCAGGCCCACAACAGGGCAGGAGTATCAGTGCCACCAGAAGTTGTAGCAGTTGGTTGGTTCAGTTTTTGTTCTGCGTCAGTGAATTTTATAATTTCTGTTCCAATTTGATTCATGTTTGCAAAGACAAACAGAGGTGATGCTTTTATGGGTGGATAAAGTCTGATCACTGATAAAGGAGCTTCAAACAGGTACATTACACATTCTTAATTAGATATGTTCCTTTTTTTCAGCACAGTTAAATCAATAGAGCTTTGGGTAAACCCAGGGTGTTAACTCATGAGTAACAATTACTTCTGCTGTGCTGAAGCAGATCTGGTTTCATTAAGTGTGACTCAGCATTTGAGAAAAACTGTATTGATGAGAATGATTAATACTGTTTGATAGAATGTTTAAATTTCATCCTGATTTGCTGCAGGTGAACCTTTAATTGTGGTTGACGCTGAAATGATTGTTAAAATCGTTTTCAGAAACTGAGTGCACGTGGAGACTTTAGAAATGTGTTTTAATAAACCTCCTGACTTCGCTGTCACAATGTCACATTTCATCGTTAAACATTCTAACTTGACTTGACACTTCCTTCATTGAGGATGTCTGGAGTGACAATAACATTGTATCAGCAATGAAAAGCTAGCAAGGTAGGAGACAAAGAGGGATGTTTATTTCATTTCCCATGAATATAAATCACACCTTCATTTTCAGATCTGCAAACATGGTAGAGCAAGTAAAAAGCCTCACATTTGTTTCGACCTTGCTCATATTAAACCAAATGTATGTGGCTGTTTCATCCAAAGTTCAATAAAGACACAGCAGATTTATGACATTAAGATTATCTCAAAGTCAGTTACATTACGCTCAGTTATTCTGATCTTGACAAGCTACTTGTGTGTATACACAAAAGTCTAACTATTTCTAAATCACTTAACTTAAAGGTACAGTGGGTAGAATTTTCTAATATCTAGTGTTGAAATTGCATGTTGCAGCTGGATACCCCTCATCTCACTCTCTCCTTCCAAACATGACAGAGAACCTGTGGAAGCCTTCAGTTGTCATAAAAACTCAAAAGGGCTTTAGTTTGTCCAGTCTGGACTAATGTAAAAAAACATGGCAGCCTCCATAGAGAGGTGTTTAAATATAAAGGGCCTTTTCTGGGGGAAAGAAAACTACAATTCATACAATTTAGATGAAACAATTATTCTAAATTAAATTTCTCCCAATGGTTCACTTTCACCTAAATCTTACACACTGGACCTTTAAGCCAATTTCAGAGATGACATCTGGGTAAAATCCAGAGGACTTTACCCCCAGTTTGCCTTTCCCATCCACCGGGGAATCCCCTGCTGTGTTCACACATTGACTTTCCTGGATTTCTATGGACTTTATACTTGGAGGCCATGCAGAAAAAGTCAGCAGAAACTGCGGAACGTCTCACTCGGACTTTTGCATTCACACATGCGCCTCCTCTGGAGGAAATACGGAGGATCTGCGGAAATGTCTGAAAGCAGCTTCAGAGAAATCTGTGAAAAGTCATCTAAAAAACACACGTGCAGCATAAGAATACACTACTGTGTAGAGCAGGCACTTGTGGAAGCATAAATAAACGGATATGTTTTCAATTCACAGTAAACCGACTGTGGTCGGTGTAAACAGCTCACGCTTCTGTTTTTCTAGCTGCAGCAGTAATTTCCTCAGTTCGAGGACGCCCCAGAGTATCTCTGAAGTGGTGCAAGAACCACATCTGCATTTTTCTGCTCGCTCTCTGCACTGTAGAGGTCGTTCTGTTGAATGTAGCTCAACACGGCGTCTGGCAGCAGGTACCTGACGCTCCGACCTCTGCGAAGCGCCCGGCGCACGTGAGTGGCGGAGATATCGTTGGTCACCCACTCGTGGACCAAGTGGATGTTCTTGCGATGCTTCCACAGCAAATCCGACTTGTAGATAAACTTGTTTGGGTCGCTGCCAACGCGAGTGATGCAGACCAAACCATAGCGGCCCAGGATCTCAGTGATGTCCTCCTGCTTCCACAGATTGGGGACCCCAAAGGACTCCAGGATGTCAGCCCCACACAGCAACATCAGCTGAGGGCTGCCTGAGAGTAGAGAAAACAGCTTATCAAAAAACTTTATATGTATGTAGCCTTTCTTAACAAAGGGAAAGAAAAAAAAAAGAAAATCAGTTTAAAGGTAAAAAGAGAGCAGTCGAGTCAAAGGTCTAAAAAAAGCAATATGGTCCATAGATCTCTATAAATAAAGTTGTATTGTAAATGCGATGTTTGGCAGTTGTGTATTGGATTAATTGTTGAGATTTGCATTCCCTTCGTTTCTCAGACTAGATTAGTTTTGGGTGTATACAATTATCAATACTGAGTCAAAACAGTCCAAAATATGAATTGGAAACTTAAAGAGGGGAAAATTATATTGTAATCATGTGTTTATAATAGTCATGACTTCTTATCCCTGTATGAGTGACTGCCTAATGCAACATGAATGTGTGGCACAGAACACACTTCAGTTCCTGCAGTGGGGCTACATGCAGCAGATTCCCCCAGTTATCAAAACCTGTCACTGGTATAAAGTTGTAAAACCAAGAAGTGAGCCCGGAGGTTTAACTGTGTCACCCTCAGAGGCTCAAATGTCACCATCTTACAACCTGACTGACTTTAGTGTAGGTAGTGTGATTGGGTGTCACCCTAACACACCCTGAGTATTCATACACTCAAACCATTGTCTGCTGTTATTAGGTTAAACTGAATACAGTGAACCATGAATACAGTGGCAGCAGAACGTGACTTGTTACCTGTCTGAAATCGCGGATTGAAATAAGCAGGAGTGTAAAAGAGGACAGAGGGAACATTACATCACACCATGCTTTACATGGCCACACGTGACCTACCTCTACTTTTCTGATGAGATGAAGCCTCAGAAAAATTCTCTATTCGTCTCCTTTTGGTGTATTTGACTGTGTCCGTCTCATCACAGTTCTGCTCTGTCTCGAGCAGTTTCTCATAGTGATGCCTGAGTGAATACAGCAACAAACAAAACATCAGACTTTTCAAGATCTATCTATTATTTGTTTAAAGTACTGTATTTAAGTTTAGCTTATTACTTTCCTTTTAATACAACTTTTAATTAGTTTCACTCACTGTGACTTTATTAAAAATATATATTTTGGACAAGCGACCATTTAAAATGAACATCTAACATGATTAATATTATATTATGACTAAGGTCCAAACACAGAGTTCCTGTTATGACTGCAAGGTACAGTATCAAATGATTCATGGTAATGATTATTACGTCAGGCTTCATGTCTTTTATTTCTCTGATGAAGATAATTCTTTACAGCAGGACGTTAAAACCTGTGAGAATAAAGGCAACTGAAAAGCACAAATTATAGAAGGTGGCATTTTACTTGGTCTAACTTTTTTATGCAGTAAACCACAAGTGTCACCTTTTCTTCACCCCTGGCATATCAAATATATATATACATACATTATTAGGCATTAATAAATAAATAATACAACCCATACATATGAGATTCTCATTTTTGAATCAACAAGAATGTAAAACATCAGTTTTGATTTAAAGCCTTAATTCTTAAATGTAGCGATTCTTGCGAGTTAGCTCATGTAGTCAACTTGCACTGATCTAATTTTGTGACATGCCTCACTCTCCACAATCCTTTATTATACATATCTATCCGCTGAAGCTGCAAAGATTTCCCATCGCTCACTTTGCTTGTCAATGCCTCTGCTAGCAAACCAGATCTTATCAAGGCTAGAGAAAGATGCTACAGAGTGTTCATTAATCTCACCGGCAGATTTCCTTGTTTCCTTGCAAAAACAACACAAGAGAAAAACAATACTAGTGCCACAAGCACAGCCACTGCCAATAACAAGAGATAAGTATCATCAACTTACCGAACCACTTTAGCCGTCTCCACCCACTCAGGCTGCAAGCTCTCCCAGGAATCTACGGTGATCCAGTCTGAGTTCTCTGTGGCCAATCTGGCCATTTCCAGACGGTGGCAGGCCTCAATCAAACCCTTCTTCTTATAGCCATCGCCCACAGGAGAGATGATGCCGCTCACCACCCTGTACTGACCTGAGACACAAGGGAGATTGCTTTTACCTGGGTACAATTATGAAAGCAGAACTTAAAAGATTCCTTCACCCACACAATGTTGGCAGCCAGCTACTATGCAAAGTGATGCCCTAATTACTGAGAAGAATTTGAGGATTGGTGTCCTGTCACCGTGACACGGTAACTGAACCACCAACAACCTTATCTACCTCTTAGGAGTATTTATATTCATAACATTTGTTGTACTGCCAATTTTGAATATTTCATTCACTGGTGGCGTCTAAAATTACTGATTGGTTGGCTCAGGCTTTGACATATTAGCCTCTGGAATTTCTTCCTCGAGTCCAACACTGTGGAGGTAAAATGAAATTAATTTGTGGTGCTTATTGTTGAAAATGCTTTAGTAGAGGTCTGTGGTTTGTCCAGATTAACAGGGTCGTGCTGTTGAATTTCTTAAAAATGATCTTTCAATTAACTACAGTAAATCAACCGTCAAGGAGGTTATGATTTCACCTGTGTCTGATTGTTGGTTTGTTCATTGGTTTATTTGTCAGCAGGATACACAAAAACTACACAACGGATTTCTGAGGATGAGAGTAGTGCAAACAGGAAGAGTGCAGAACTGGATTGAGTATGTAATGTATTTCCACAGGATGTAGTGAATAGCAGTTAAAACTCACACTATCTGCAGGACTTGATCTTTTTAGAAGTGAGGGAGAAAGTAACACTTATATTTACACTTATACTAATATTTTCTCTAAAAGATCTAATTGTCATTTGAATGTACCTGTGTCTTCAAGATGATCTCGAGCCAATTCAAACAACCTCAGGTGCATGTTGGTGATGGGGTTGAAGGAGCCGCAGGCCAGCAGGACCACTGAGGTTACACTGGGAGAGTCCATACTTCTGGAGCAACAGACACGACAAAGACAACGGAGACTGCTGAGTAGGGATATCACAATATATATATATGAAATTTTAGTGCCACGATTATTGTCAGAGGAAATATCAAGGTTTCATTATACTCCCACGATTATTGATACTATAGAAGGAAAAAGACACAACAAACAATATATAGCCAATATATAGCTAATAATGTACAGTAGCTTATGGACTAAAATGTATTATTATCATCAACATCCAGTTTTTATAGTGTAACGCTTGGCTATTAAAAAATAATTTATGTCAACTATTCTATTTAGCTGACTTATAATGGAGGGTTGGTCAGTGGATTTGTGTTTCCTGTCATCATCAGCAGTGTATCTGTGTGGGACTTTTATTGTGAAGGGTCACCGACCTAAGTTGTTCTGTTTTGGGAGAAGTGTTGACGAGTTGTGAAAAAGTAACCAGGTAAACTGTCCTGGTTCAGGCCACGTTCTTCATGTCCTCATCATACTGTGACCTCTCAGTACAGGTGAACTACACCCTCGGCTACATTTATAATGGTTAATATGAAGAGAGAGGGATGGAGGGGTGTGTGTGTGTGTGTGTCAGTGGAGCTGGTCAGAAACTGAAAGTAATCCCTGATTGCTCCTCTCTCTGTGAACTCCTCGTTGGTGGCCATAAGATCGTTGAGTCAGTTCCCTCTTCTCAACTAACGTTTTAATGGCTCGCGCACTCAAATGACGTGACTCGTGAGAGGCAGGACTCACGTTAGATATCGTAGTGTTACAATTCTTACGGTTATGAAATCGTGACGATTTCAAACCGCGGATATCGTTGAATCGGTTACACACACACACGTACAAAGCAGCTCTGCTTCACTGAGTGAATTACAAAGGATTGAAACGATACAACGTCATTAAAACCTGTAAACAGACAGGAACGTTAGCTTCTTCTGTAGCCAGGGAACATTAGCTAAGTAAGGGCAAGCTCGTAGAGGCACTTCCGGTGACAACAGAAATCTACACGGTCACATCACCAACAATCTTATGATCGTTTTTGCACTTATATCAATTTTCAATTCATCAATCTCACTTAACAATCACCGGAACACATACTGTACCTCTCACAGTCAAATACAGCGCAGACTGACAGGGACAGGAACCGACGCAGTACATCCGCTAACCTTCAAAATAAGAGAAATTTCAAAAATAAGTAATAAGAGCACAAAAATGCAAACTCATACCCTAATCCCCAAATTTAGAAAAATCAACATGGGAACAGTACAACTGGTGAGGGTGAAATGAATACATATTATAAAAGAACACTATCATGAAGAAAATAATAAATGTACAGAAGGCATTAACAAGGAGAACAATGTTCACATTCACTCGGTCAGAGGAATATAATTCCCTAACACGGCATATAAAGCTACTTATGAAATAAGAGAATTCAGAGAAAACAGAAGCTGATCAGGCTACTGCTTCTCTTAGTTGATATGATGTATTTTACACCAGATAAAATCTTTCCACTCAATCCCACCAGTGTGAACATTGCCTGAGGCAATTAAAAAGAAATACATATAGTGAATAAAATCACAACACAGTACTCATGACTATATTTCTTTGGCTCTGTTTGGAACAAAGTCAATAAAGACTGAGACTTTCTACTAAACCCATTTGCAATACCCCTTGGAAGAGGTTTTTGCACCTTACTCTATCAGTCGAGTAACTGCCCGAACAATCATGCCTGTGCGTGTTCTGACCATATGTCTCTTAAGCTCTGGATCTTGTGTTAGTATCTGACTATCAGTCACTGTTATGGGTAAAATGATGTTGCAGGGCCCTGTCTCATCTTGGTCCAGAACGCTGACTAAAGGGTAATGGTGAGTATCATTCATGCATGACTCAAAAAGCCCACTGGAACCAGGTGAGTCTCTCAGGGGTAATGCTTCCTCTCTTTGTCCTTTGCTTCCACTTTTAGCAGGGTCAGGCTGGGAGCTTTCATGTGTCATCTGGCCAGAGCCTCTGGTTGGGGAGTATGACATCTCATTCTCCATTCTAACTCTATCAACTTCCAATGACTCACAGTCAATGTCAGATGACATGCATGAGCAGTCCACAGGAGTTTCTTCTGCAAAGCCACTCAAGGTGTCAGGTGGCGGAGGCTGAAACTCATTCTTTGAGTTAAAGTGTCAGCAGCAGCTCCATACCCTGCTTCCTGTGTTCTTCTTCTTATGTTATTTATTTGCAGTAGACAAACTAGCTTATAGGTGTAGGATCAGTGCTTCCTGTGTTGTGACGTCAGGGACAACGTTGAACCTGATTGGTTAGCATGCGGCAGGAAGACGACAGCCGCACCCACGCTGCTGAGCTGCGTCCATCATCACAAACGACACTGAAGTCGTGGAACAGCATTTAAAAGCCAGCGGAGTCAGCGGAAGTCCAGTTGAGCGTCGTTAGTCTCTCTTGTGGTTCAGTCGTCAAACCGATGCAAACATTTCACTCACCACGAGGCTGATTTACAACTGAGGGAATCGGGTGAGACGTTTTCTGTTAGCGTGCTAGCTAGCTAGCTGCTTCGCTCACTGAGCAACTTCCCCTCTGCTAAGACAGTCCGAGTCCTCAACACAAGCATTCCTTCACAGTTTGTGTCGCGATGGATGCTGAACAGTTGTGTTGTGATGCTCACTGCTGCCATTCGTTGTTCATGAAGACAGCTAGCACGCTAGCTTGAAGTCCTCAGGTGACATTCTAGTTATTGTTTTGCTTTTTGTTTGCTTCCTGTCAGGTTGGAGACCTTGTGTTCGGGAGGATGGCATCCCGCGGGAAATCAGAAACAGGAAAACTGAGGCAAAACATGGAGGAGCAGCTGGACAGACTGATGCAGCAGCTGCAGGATCTGGAGGAATGCAGGTGAGGTTTAGGGTTAGGTTGTGTGTCCGAGCTGGTGATGGTGTAAATCTGTGGCAGTGAGTACAACACAGGCTTCTATGTGTTGATTCCAGAGAAGAGCTGGACGAGGAAGAGTATGAGGAGACAAAGAGGGAAACCTTGGAGCAGCTGAGTGAATTCAATGACTCCCTGAAGAAGATCATGACAGGAGACATGACACTGGTGGATGAACTCGGTGGGATGCAGCTGGTATGGACAATCCGTTGATAGTCTGAAGTTATAGTTTGTATAAGAAGTGACTTCAGTAAGTCTGAAATAAATTTTGATTGAGTGATTTCAATTTTCTTTTTATAATAATAATAAACTTTATTTGTATAGCACTTATTTTCAACAGCGTACTACACTGTGTGTTAGATTTAGGTACAAGGGATCTATTGGTAGAAATTAAATAGAAAATAATCCTAGTGATGTTTTCATAATGTGTGTGATCATCTAAATTGTATGAAGTGGTTCCTCTCTATGGAGGCTGCCATGTTTTTTACAGTATCCGCCGGGTTCTATCTGCCAGTCCCCATCTGAACTGTATCTCAGGGTTTGGCCGTTTAAGGCTTTAAATGTGAGCAATCCATTTTTTAAATAAATTCAAAAGTCTGTCTCTGTCTTCATCAGGCAATCCAGGCTGCCATCAGCCAAGCATTCAAGACACCAGAGGTCATCCGGCTGTTTGCTAAGAAGCAGCCAGGGCAGCTGAGAACCAGACTAGCGGAGGTTTGTGCAGCAGGATCTGGAATATGAGTATAGTTTGTGCGTTTGCTGCACTCTGTCCGTTGTTTGGCCTGAAAGTTGTCAAACTGCTCTGCGATCTGTTTTTTTGCGCAGATGGACCGAGATGTCATTGTGGGCAAACTGTCGCGGGACATGTACGTGCAGCAGAAAATGGAAATCCTCACAGCCCTGAGAAAACTCGGAGAGAAGGTGAGGAATGCTCACAGCAGAGATGTGATGTTTTTTTCCCCCCCCACGGGTTCATGGATGATTCACTGGTTTGCTCTCATGTGTCCACACAAACTCTTCAAGCTGCACTGACTTCTTCTTAGTCATTAAAGTGTCACTGGGCTGAAAGAGCTGTCGCTTCAACAGGCTTAAATCTCCCTGCAGAAGAAGCCGTAACATTTTAAATATGTTTTTTTATTATTGCTTAAACAAACAAACTAATGTCAGGTTGTTTTGTCAATGCCTCGTCAGCTCACTGCAGAGGATGAGACTTTCCTCACCGAGAACGCGACAGCAACCCTGAGCCAGTTTGAAAAAGTGACTGCAAATCTCGGTGAGAATAAGCAGGTGATCTCACTGAAATGGTTAATAAGAGTCATTATTGGATAAACATTCACATTTGTCTCGTATCCTTTTTCCTTTTCAGGCTCCGAAGACAAAATCATGGCTTTAGCCAGCTCTAGTGTGAAAACCAAAGTGTAGTAATTCTGCAAAATACTTATTAACTCTGTCTTTGGTATTACCAAGAAACAAATGTGCCAATTGATGGTTGGTTTTGTAAACAATCTGCACTTTTATGTGTTGTGGTGAATGCTGACACTTTTTTAACAATATGCTTTTATAGCCCTCAAATGTTTGTAAATGTCTTTTAGTTGTGCAGATAAATGTAAAGTTGTATTATAGGTACGAGCATGTGGTTTGTTTAAAATGAAGATGTTATACATGAATGTAAAGGAGAGTGGAGACAGTTCAGGAGAAATATTCTGTGGTGATTTGTGCTGTATTTCTTATCAGCTGCTGTTTATGTGTGAAAAGACTGAAGATTGATTTCCTGTGTGAATGCTGCGAATATTCAAGATGTTTAGTTATTTTATCTCCACTGTGCTGTGTACAAGGCTTTGAACAAAAAAGACGTGCACATAAAGTGTGAGGAAACTAAATGACATTAAATTCAGTGTTCATACAGTTCGACTTATGAGTTTGAGAGATTCTATCTCATCTTTTACCAAACATTTTAACAGCAATCGAGCAGTAAACACTTTTAAATGAGCTGGCAATCAAATGAAGAGTCACAAAAAGCTTTTAATTGTTAAATGGGTGAAAATGTGCTTTTGAGATGCATAGAAATATGATTATGTTTTGAGCAGTCTGGCCGCAGTTCAACAAAAACTCCACTCTGGACTTGATGCTGTCTGTTTTGTGGAGGGTCTTGTGATGGTTCCAGCAGCTGCCTCATGACAGTCATTCAGTTTGATGAGTGCAACATGAGGTCACTATACAGAGCCAGGCAGCCTGCACTGTTGCAGTGAAGATGGTGGCTACAAGTAAAATAAAACCCCTTAAACTGTCTCTTCAGTCACCAGTTATAAAAGTGATTGAGTTGAGAGGAACGACTTTAACTAGAATGATGCAGTTTAATGGCTTCGTCCCCGGCTCAGGCACCGTCGCTTCACAAATAAAATGTCACTCAGTAGAGCGCATACCTCCACCCAACAGGTCCAACAGCCGCCTTATGAAATCACAATAAATTCACCAGATCTGGATTTTGAAATCACATGTTCATAAACATTTCTGTTTTTTGTTTTTTTTCATCGAGATCCATGAATTATTCTCTGTGAAATCAATGAAAACACCCAATCTCACAATGTTAGAGAGAAACAAATTCCTGGATCTGTCCCCTGATCGGAATCCACACCAAAATGTGGTGAGGTCTTCCCTGGGTCATGCCCCACCCCTGCACAAAATGTAATGGAAATCAGTTTGGTAGTTTTTGTGCACCTTTGATTAAAATCACCAAGGAGGTTATGTTTTCATTTGCATTTGTTATTTAGCAAACAAGGATTGAGCAAAATATAATCCAAAGATTTCCATGAAATTTTGTGGAGGGGTAGAACATAACCCAAGGAAGAGCTCATTACAGTTTCAGGAATATTATTTCACTCTAGAGTCTAGAACATTGTGAGATACAGTGTTTTTCAACATTTTCACTAATTTCTCTGAGAATAATTTATGGATCTTGCTGAAAAAGAATCGTTTGGGATGGCTAATATTTATGAGTGTGTGTAATTTGGTGTAGATCAAATAAATATCTGGGTCTAGTGAATTTAAATGTGGTTTCACGGAGGGATTACTGTAGGAGGTATCTGCTCGACTGGGAACTATCCCAGTATTATTCGCTTTACCTGTGAAATTCTGTTGCACCAATTACTTCCAGGCTTCAGTTTTGTTCTCACCCCCAGATGGCGCTAACACATTTAACATTTTGAACACTTTCCCTACTTAGGGTGTGTACCATCCATCACAGCACTGTGATTACAGTAAAATAAAACAAGAGCACACAGAAGTTATACCCCATCTCATCATCCTTTATTTTGTTTGCGAGCAAGCATCAACTTCACTACAATTTGCCTTTCAATTGGTAGAAAAGTGAGAGCAGCTCCAACAAGCACAAAGGAAACATCCAACTGTTCAAAAAAAAAAAAGAAAAAACGCCGTCACCTTCCTTCCTCAAGCAAATTCTCAAAGAAAAAACAAACAAAATATATATATATATATATATATATCTGGAGTGTTGTGGACGTGTGAAACGGACAATTGAGAATCAGTAGTGTATCACGTCTCCTTTCTTACTCCAGTCTCACAACCCCACATGGAACGTACACAAACTTGTGGTTCATGCAAAGTAAAGCCCCCCCCCACATCTTTAGTGTTATTATGGTATGGCTGCGTCTCAGTTTGTTAGGCAGTGACATTCAATTCAACTGACTTACACTTAGCTCAGGGGCTGAGCGGAAATCATATGACCCAGAGAACCGGAGATGGTGGAGTCACTGAGGAGACTTGACTTCAGTCAGCGTGCACATGTCAGTGACCCCTGGTACTGTACTTTTTTACTGTAGATGCAATGTGGACATTTTGTGTTTGACTGAATGAAACCGTGATAATTTCAGAGTCGACAGGCTTCGACACTTGTGAATTTCATGCTGCCCTCAAAATCATTTCTGGACAACTCAGGCAATAGGACACTGTTCAAAAACACCTTCCACTATACACAAACAGGCCAATCAAGAGTAAACCCATGTACGCCGCCAAAGCAAATTCATTATGTACTGTGAATCTTTTTAAAAGGTGGATTCCGTCAATATGATTTAGTACAATATCTATAGAAGGTACAATATGGATCTACTTCCTCTACACATCAACATGGACACATGACATCTACGTGAAATGTTTGTTGCCGTTAATAAAAGTAGCGGTGGATTATTGATACGACAGATTTAAAAGAAAAGCGTAATCCCCCAGCTCTGCAGGAAATCTAGCATTTAACAAACAAGAATGAAATAATAATAATCAGAGCCATTCCAAAAGGACTGTTAGAGCTCGGGCCCTAACAATGCCACACACACAAAAAGGAGCATGGATGAGTGTTATTGTTAGACCTGCTAATTTCGCTATGATTGATAAAAGGCAAAAGGCACTCCCATCTCAGCCGGCTCGGACCTCTTCTTCTTCTTGCTCCGAGTCATCGAGGAGGGGGAGACTGTTCACTATGTTTCCACCACGGAATTATATTAAACTTAAAAAAATCCAACTCAACAGTGCGACTCAAATCCTCAAAAACAGCCTGGAAACATCTCCAATGAGCCTTTCGTGTGTTTCTGAACTGAAATTCTTGGAAAATAGATCTGCACTCAAAATATAGGACTCGCGATGCCCAACACTTTTTATCCTGATAACGCCCATTCTGCTCTGATTTTAATTAATGCAGGTTTAGGAAATGTTTTACACTTTTTACTCAGTACACAAAAACATGAGACGAACACTCAATAGTTACAACAGTGTCTGAGAGGAGTTAAGAGGTTGGACACATTTCCCCAATCAATTGTATAAGCTTTATACTAATACCAGAAGGAAAAATAAGTTTACCAAATGTAAACAAATATCTTAGAACAACTCTACAGTACAGTTCCATGTACAATAAAATCTAGTGGTCTAATGCAAAAAAAATCTCATTTTTAAGATTTAAACAAGAAGATGAGTCATTTTGAAAATGTTTTTTTGTTGCAAACTACGCAGTCATGCCTGCAGTTGTAATTCCCAAAATTGCACTAAAGATAATGCTCAGTTTGCAGTAAGAAACCAGCTTCAAAATGCTAATATATGTATTATTTTCATTTCAGATTAAATAGCTGTGCCATGGAAAATAAAGTTGCAACAGAGCAATCCTGAAAAGTACTTTCATTTCACTTTTCTTTCCAAAAACAAAGCCAGCAACGGCAGAATTCAACCACCGCAGCTCCGTCTGTCATAAATCTGCTCCTTCAGTAGTTTGAAGGTTTATTTTCCTCCATACTTCTGTCAGCACAGCAACGGGAAAAAGAGACGCTTTAAAGCTGCTGAGGAAATCTCTCTACACGTCCAATTACACTGGCAGAAATGTTAGTACCTATATTTCAAGATTAACAGCACAACAGAACCTGCTGGTCTGGTGTTTGTACCGTTCCACACAAAATGTCAATTTGTACATTAGCGTTTCTCTGAGTACGATCATTACTCCAAATGAAAAAAAAAAAGAAAATCCCCTCTGTACAACAGTGAGATCTACTGGGAATGAAATACATGTGACATGTAGAGCATTGCCACCTGTGCAAGCAAAGCAAAGCATGTGTGAAGCTGAAACCATCCACCAGTTCTGCTTTACATGTACATAAAACAAATGATTTTTGTTTTTGCAAAAACAAAAAAAACAAAAAAACAAAATAGACACAACTTTGTCATGGAAACCTCTGCTGAACAGTCCTGGGTTTCTCATTGTGAAGCGGACACTTTTTGTACAAGCATGATGGAACAGCTTTTTGCGGAAAATTTTCAACATGCTACAGCCTCTGTGACACAAATATTCTACATTACATACTGCGTTGTTTTAGATATTGGACCCTGTTGAGTAGGTCTTCACTAACACATCGACTAATTACATGGTTTCTTTATATTTACAAAATCTTTAAAAAGCAATTTATTTCTCTACACATATGACTCAAATATCCTCATGCACTAAAAGAAAAAAAAAAGAAAATGCAGTCTACTTGTTAAAAGCAATATTTTTTCACTGTGGACAACTAAGAAAACTCAAGTCAAGTGAGTTTAGCGGCAAACAAATCTAAAAGCATTAAGCAAGAATATACATCAGGGAGAAAAATTAAAATTATTCTGTTTGAATGCTCATGTCTGAAAAAAAAAATTAAAAGTGCAGGGTTGGCTTCCTCACACAGTTCAAAACAAATGTAGACCAAGTTTTCCTGGGAATTAAAATATAATAAATAAAAAAATAAACAGTAAAAATCAGCAATCCGGTGATGACTACACTACACTGAGTACCACCACTAAGATAACAACAGGAAAACCTCGACGCTGAAGGGAATTTTTTTTGTTTGTTTTTGTAGTTTTTTTTACATCCTGGCTCCTTAGACATGAATCTGTGGTGTGTGTGTGTGTGTGTGTGTGTGTGTGTGAGACCCTCTGAGTAAGTGTTGGTGATGTGTATGTCAGAGAGAGCTGTGTTGAGTGTATTATGCATTGTGTGTGTGTGTGTGTGTGTGAGTGTGTGCGTATTCATTCTAGTAGGTGAGGGTAGAGTCGTCCCACTCCAGCTGCTGCTGTCTGCTGGCGCCCTGCTGGTCCTCCGGCTCTCCGCCCTCCTCGTCCTCGCTGCTCTCTGACTCAGCACTCGTGATGTCATCTTCCTCCTCTCCGTCCTCGCTCTCCTCCTCCTCTTCCTCATCCTCCTCACTGCTGTGCTGGTCCTCGTACGTCTGAATAAGAAACGGAGGGGGGAGGGGTTGTTTGTGAGGAGTCTATCTCAGAGGAATTTGTGTTCTTGGTGATTTTTGCGGCTCCTCCCTGTTATAGCTTCATTATTAGTTAGACCAGTTAGAAGGAACAGGTGATGGGAGCCACTTTCCAGTAAAAGAACAATAGCAACACAGAACTTGTGTTTTTTAATCATTGAATACAATGAATAAATCAAATGTTTTGACTTTCATACTGACGCATGAGACAGAATCATCAGTGACTGATAAATGACCAGATCTCAGCCAAACACATAAAGAACATTTTAAGCTTCTTAAATAATTGATATACAAATTAAAGCTTGGTTTGTGAATCCTACAATAGTAGCTACAAGCTATAAGAGCAGGCTACACTTAGAAAACATGTAACTGATACATCCCACCATTTCCCATTGGCCTCTTACCAAAGCTACGCCCCCAAAACACATGAACCTGCACTGACAACTGCAAGAAGCACTGAAGTTTCCAGTGAAACACAGTGAGAGCACAGACAGGGTGCATGTTGAATAGTGACAGACAAATACGTCAGCCAATCTTTTTATTGAGTCTGAATAAAATGTCACCTTGGACAGGTGGAAGACTTAGGTGTGGTTTTCTTGTCTGGAGCATGAGACTAACTGGATGCACAAAAATTAATTCCAACACAAATTTCTTTATATAAATTAGTGAGTTGAAAATCCAGAAATACCTACAACAAAGGTGCCCCTCCATCCCCATGAGTCAATCATGACAGCTCAGATAAATCAAGGTTATGGTCCCAACATTGCCCAGAGAGCATTAGCAGGTGAAAAGCCGTCTGAGCTGCGACACGGCCACATTTTGTTGAGCTCAGAATGTCTTTACACTGGAACATTCATTTATCTTGCCTCCCTGCAAACATTGTGTTTTGTTTGTTTTCTTTACCTCCATGGGGTTGACGGTGATGGTGAGAGCCGAGTCGTCCCAGTCCATCTCGTTCTCCTTGCCGCTTTCCTGGTCTCTCATGGTTCGCTGGTGAGCAGCACGGATGCGGAACACGCCCAGGATGATCATAAACACCAAGAAGCTGACGCACACCACAATGACAATGGTGGCAGCACTGGGAACCACTGTGAGGAAGCAAACGCACAAAAACAAAAATGAGGTTATACATACACTAAGTCAGTTTGCACATTCATGCATAAAAACACACATAGCTTACATGTCTTGCTGAGACAAGGGCTGCAGTTTCACAGTGTGCCAGTGCTAGCTTCAAATGGTTCTTAGTAAACTGCAGTTAAACTGTTTCGGCAACTCTAGGTGTGTTTCTTCTAATAGCTTTGCCTTTCTGCTGCAAACGTGCTCCACTTTGCACAATATTAGCAGCAGAGGGCCTCTCCTGTGTGATGGCAGACTTAGTGAGCCTGACAGCCTGGAAGATTACTGAAGCTGGGAAATAAAAGGTTGTGCCGCCTGTACAGATGTCACAGACAGCACTCAAGTGTAATCCCTAAACTTGTGTCAGTTACAAAAAAACCCAGGCAAACAGCCAATGTTTCATATGTGCCCTACTTCTAATTAATAGGCGGTAATCCAGCTACAGTAATGTTTGCCATAGCAGAGGCCAACTATTTATCTACAGCACAACAATTAAGCAGATTACTGGTTTGATTATGATGCTGGGGATTAACTTTAATAAATTAAACATTGCAAGTGGAGGAAGCTTCAGCAGGCGACTGTCAATTTAAAGAGGATCAAGTGGAATCACAATTCAACAAGTGATATAAACATATGTTATAATATATATCACACTGCCAGACATCAGACAAAAACAAAACTCTTAACATATTTTAGAGCCAGTGTTCCACCAAAATTAGCTTGGATGGAGGCTGAACTGACATTTTTATCTCTTTCTTTAATTGAATTACTAATCTTTTGCATAATTATTAACAAAACTACAAAGGGTTTTTTTTGAGCGACAATCAACTTGATTTGGTTTTGTATGATAAAAAGGACACAAATTGCTCTGTGTTGCAGTTCAACATTTTAAATGTTAGGCTTCCGTGTGCAGTACCTGAGGCCTGGTGAGCGTTGACCAGGTTGTGACCAGACAGATCCACAGAGGCATGATGGATGGGGTTAATGAAATTTGGCTGCACCATGGCGTTGTTAGCATGCTCCACGGGATTGGCTGTGTGGATCACATTCACCTAGAGAGAATAAAAGTAAGGACCACGTATGTAAACCTCTCATCAACACATCTCCATTTTAGATGAAGCTTAAAAGGTCATAACGTGTGACTCATGAAAGCATCACTGTTGTGTGACCTTATCGACAAACGATCAAACATACCTCAACCTTGAAGTCATTGCTGATGTAGCGACCGTTGAGCTCAGAGCAGACCAGTTTGAATTTCCTGTCAAACAGAGCCTCAGTGTGCCAGTTCTTGTAACGGATCAGGTGCAGAACCTGTTCGTAGTTGGCCATGGTGTTCACACCTGGAACACAGAGAGGAGTTTGGGTCAAAAAGAAATCTGATCAGCAATAACAAGTAAGTGTGTCCATATTAGAGGAAAACAGTAATGTTTTTAGTATTTATAAATGTATGCTTAAAAAGGAATCACGTAATGTAAGTAAACGACTTTAAATCTTTGTAGTTGACAGTTTTAATGCCTAAAATGTAAAATCCTACAAACAGAAAATATGATTGTAATAAGCTTATTTTTCTGGACTAAACATTCTATATATTACAAAGCATTTTCTTTCTGTGCTCATCACTGTACCGGTGATGACGAGGCCCAGGTTAGAGGAGCTCATCTCCAGGCCGCGCGGCTGCAGCTGTGACATGTCCACCTCCAGGCTCTCGTGCTCCCCGTCCAGCTCGTCTCCCACCACACTCACTTCACACGTGTCCAGGTTGTGCATGATCTCCTCTGACACCACTGTCTCTTGGACTGAATGAACAAAGGAGAAAAGTTGATGAGTTTCATGGTTCCACAGAAAGGTAAGATCTTCCATTGTCCCTGTAATGTACATGTTTGCCTTCTGAAGTGTTAATGCACCAAGACTGGAAATTAGTTTCCTGCATTTTGAAAATTTTCTGTATATGTGAAATATGTGAAACACGACCAAAGACAAGTGAACAAGTTGTTAAAAGTCAGAGCAGAGGAAAACAGTGAGCTGTCTTATTCTAGAGATTTAGAGAATGCTCCGGAAAAAGCTACTGATGGATAAGAGGATGAAGAATCACCCTGATCTTGATCATTAAATATAGGGGGAAAGAACAGCCTCACCCCAGCAGCTTTAACTCCATTGTCCATAATTCAAATAGGCTATTTCGGCATATAGGCTAATTATACCACATATATTGCTATCTGTCCTTTATCATGAACTCCTGCAAGTTGACTGCACCTGCTCTTAAAAGCCAATATGATCCATGTTTACTGTTTACCAGCAAAGTGTTACTTTGTGTTTTAGTGTCTTAAACTTGACCTTTTTTACAGAGCTGGAAGACACTGCTCAGAAAAGAATGTCTATATTCTAATAATCCATCTGAGTCTTCACCTTGTTTCTCATCAAACAGATTATTTCATGCAGTTCCAGTTTTTCACCTTTTGACTGTGGAAGTGACTCTTAATCATCTCATTTGTTGGTTTAGTAAGGTGGGGCAGGGTAATGCAGGTAATAGCAACAGATCACTGTAAGCCCTTTTGTCCCATATGGCCTGCTGTTCACCACAGGACATCACATCTCCCTGTATCTGTGTCAGCCTTGGTGCACGTCTATTGTCTCTCCTGCTCTTAGCTCATGTACGGGCCTAACAGATGGCACGGCTGGTCAACTGACCCCTCCCATAAAGTTGTAAACAACTTATCTCTTTTCTCACTCCCGCCCACTCGTTCCGTCTGTCCAATCCCTTTATCCTCCGGACATAATCCTCAGGAGCTGCTATACAGTATGTCTACATGGCCATGAACTGCACATTCACTGTGTTCAGCAGTAAGATTACATACAGTATGTGGCAGCTTTGAAGTAGAAAGTCAGCATATTTAAGTCAGAGGTTGAGCTGGCTATGAAGTGAAAATACTAATAACTCACTGAAAAAAAACGGTTCTACTAATCCCCTTAACATAATCAAAGGTTATGTAGGCGTCCTGGGAGCATTTCTCTTACCTGTGGGGTCATCATCAGCTCCCTCCGTGGCTTCAGACTCAGTGTCGGCCTCCACTTCACGGGTGATGGTGCTCACGATGCGCAGCTCGGGGAACAGCGTCACGCCTTCCTGGCTTTCGAATTCGGCAGCACTGCGGGCAAAGTGGTCGATGCCGCTCAGGCTGATCTTGGGTTCTTCGGGCTGCAGCACCATCACGTAACCCTCGGCATCTGGCACCGAAACGCAGGACTCCTCATTGAAGCATCTGTTTGGGAAGATAAAAGTTTAAATACCTGGAAATCAAAAGAAAGTGGTACAGTAAAAACTGGATATGTATATAAATATATCTGGATATGATCACAGATATAGTTATAAACAATTTAGATGGATTAAAAAGCTTGAAACAGAATCATTCTTATCCAAATGCTGTTTAAATAATTCGGTTGTAGCGATCAATTAGTTTGTTTCCATTTTTCATTTTGGGTCTTTTCATACAGGTTGAATTCAAAATAACAAATAACAATAAATTAATAATTAGTTTTTGCTGGGTCTGTCAGTAATTTACTGTTCCAGTCTGTGTGTCTATCATTCACGCTGCACACTGCCAACCAAGTTTACAAATTCTGTTCTTTTTACCCAGTCTGAGTTTACACTCGTGTCCGATGACACTGTTTGTGTGTGTGTGTGTGTAAGTGCATGAGAGAGAGAGAGTGCGTGGAGTCAAGACGAGCTGAATTATGAATGAATGATGGTGATATTGTGGTGGTCAGTGTGTGTTCGAGGGTCAGTGAGAGAAAGAGCAAGAGAAAAGTGAGCAGCGGAGTTAGTGTGATTTGAGTGTATTTGAAGGTGCCCTGATTCCATAATTTCATTCAGCAGGGTGATTGAGGAAAGACATAACATTGAGATGAACTGTTCCAGGTTCATAACCAACGACAGTGATAAAGTGTAGCCACCAGTACTGCTACCTGAGAGTAAGGAAAAGAAATCGAGGGACTGACTGTTAATTGCTGTGCAACTCTACATATAAAAATGCTTTCTGCAGTTGTTTCTCTAAATTCATTTAGATGTAATAGCACCACCAGCTGGAAAGTTTCCTTGGCAGGTAGAAATTGTAGATATGAGGAACATTCGTCATAAGGTTTAACAGCTCAGTTCACATGGTAACACGCAGTTTATGCAGATTAGTGTGTATGCAGACGAAAACAAATATTAAACTTGGATTAGGCTCAGCAGGAACCTGTGACTTCCAATACACTTGTTTTTTTAAATATATTATCATCTGTAATTTGTTGTGAAGTAATTTTTGCTTCTGCGACTCACTTGACGGTGGTGGAGATGCGAAGGTGCCTGATGCCAGGTGTTGGGAACTGGCGAGAGTTCAAGTAGGAGATGTGCTGCATGACCTTATCAAAGGCATCGATGTCGTCGCCCTCCACAGTCAGAGAGGACTGGTTGGGGTTGAACTCCACCTGAGAGAAGAAAACATGGTGACGGACTGTGTCGTTGGATTGTCTCCTAAAGCCAATTTAAAAACTGTGAGCTGTGAGGGTGAGTGCAGGCATCAAATATAACAGGTGCCAAGTCATTAAACATGTGGCATATAGCAAACACTTGTACCCGCAGTCCAGGAAAACTTGACACTATTATTATGAAGCAACATACTGGATTGTCACACTTCTTCAGGACTTGACAAACTGTTATAAAAATATTCTACTGCTTAAGAATCATACATACAGTTAGCTCCAAAATTCTGAGTACAAGTTTCCATTCACTTGAATAGAAAAGTCATCTGAGACATTGTAAATGCAATCTGTCAAGGCAGCTGAGAGACTTTGCTTTTCCTTGAAGCTTAAAATTCAAGCTTAGACCAAACAACAAAGTCAGACCATCTTATTGGTGCACAAATTCATCCAGCCTGACCGAGGCTGGGGGACTTTTGTGTTTCTTTAACACTTAACCCTCCTCACCTTGACAGCTGAAGCGACCTCCTCAGGCAGCTGCACATCCAGGCCCTCCTTGCATGTGTACAGACAGTCGATCACCTTCTTGTTCTCCAGTTTGCCAGAGCGAATCATCAGCCCTGCAAGGTTCCCTCGGAAAAACTGACCCATACGAGCGTTTCCGCCTGGACACATCAGGATAAGGATGTGGAAAGGAAAACAGTCAAACACGCACGTATAAAAAAGCAGTTACTGAAGTGTATGTTCCACAAACTTCACCTTTTTTACCAGGTGACTCAAGCATGCCTTCTCAATGAGCAAAGCTGGTGTGAATGGAGTTCATGCAAGTTAGAATGTGTGCCCTTACAAGGCCCGAGGCCCAGAGCAAGACAGAAGAATGATGAATGAGCTTATACAAAACAGTAAACACATGCAACTTCTGCATTAACAGGGTGAACCGCTGCCTTACTGCGGAAAAAAATGACAACAGAAAAAAAAGAAACTCAAGTGGGGATTATCTATGATAGTGATGAACTTAATCCTTTTTCTAAAATAGAACTATTTTGAGGGTTGCAAAAGTTTGGAGCCTTGAAATTTCATTACAACTATATGTTCCTGTGAGGTGCAAAAAATCCTGTCGAGGTAAAACAACCGCGTTGTCTTCTTGCGGAACAGTAATGAGCATAAATCTGCACTACTGCAAAGTCAGAAACGAACCTGGACTTTCACATCTCAAGGTCATGCAGTGTGAGTGTGTGTGTGTGTGTGTGTGTGTGTGTGTGTGTGTGTGTGTGTGAGAGTTATCTGATATGGAGGAGCTACTGCTTTTGACCCCAAGGTCACGTTCTGAAAGGAGAGCCAGCACATCCAAAATGCTGCAGCCAGGTCAGTTTTGTGCTCGTTATATGTCTATTTCTGTTCTGCTTCTGTATCAGGTTGTAGAGAAAAACAACTGCCTCACTGCTGCAACGAGGGAACGTTTAGACTGAGGGTGAAGAAAATGCAAAAAAAATAATATGGGAGCATAAAAAAAAAAAAAAAAATCACACCAGTCACATGAATTCTGCATCATGCTGCAAACATCAGACAGTTCATTCTTCATCTAGAATGTGTGAAAATCATTCTAGTGGAAATGGCGTGAGAATGCAGTTAGCATGATGGGACATTGTGGACACAAGGAGTAAGGGAAAGACTTGAGCAACCTGAGGTGGGCTCAGAGACTGTCTCAGTGTCATTGTCATGTCCTGAGTTTTCTGTAAATGACAGAAACAAGAGAGCAGGGAGAGACAGGGAGGAAGATTGAGGATCTGCAGGAAAGATTCAGACGCTACATACGAGATCGAGGTGCAAGAGAGAGTTAATACTACATTGGCTGACAATAAAATACCATGCACGCTGTATTGTACACAAACTCTAACCAAGAGGAAATAACAGATTACCAGGCAGCATTGCAGCATTACAGCATCTTTTTACTAATCATCTGTAATAATTAAATGTTACAGATTAAAATTATCAGTCAAATGTAACAGGAATTAATTTTCTGTGCTTCGTATTTAGTCATAATTAAAACTTTTTGCCAAACAAGAGAGTTATGACTCATTTCACTTTGTTGTTTTAAGAGTTTACCTTGCCAGCAGGCACCAATCGTGAGCTGAGTTGCAATCTTGGAGGAGTGCAGCGGGTAGTCTTCTGTAACCAGGAAGGGCTCAAACGTAGTTCCATCCACAAACAAAGACACGGTGGGGAACTCCACGTTCAGCACATAGTGATGCCACTCTTTGTCACATACCTGTGAATAACACAGCAGAGCTGAAATCCACACTGAAAGTTGCACTGTACTGTAGCTGTAGTTAAATGCAGTTAAATTTGCTGTCACAGGCTGTTTGATAGTAGAAGCAGCTGACCTGGTCGAGTTTCCAGTGAAACTCTGCTGGTTTGTAGTTCTCGGCTTCTGATGGATCCTGACGGAGGAGAAGGATCAGTCTGCAGTTGTGGACGTAGAGGGAGTAGTGGTGTCTGTTCATCTCTGCAGAGGACAATATGAGAGAGGGAATCAGGACATGAAATATCTGACCATTGTCAGAAAATAACAAATACATTTTGTTGTGAACATGGTTATTTTTTTTCACAGTTAGTGTTTAAAATCTATTTAAAAGTGACACACTCATGTTGCTGTAGCAGACAGTGTGTTGAATGGTGGTCATGAATGGTGCTGAGATCATGGGTATGGAAGCTTCCTGTCCAGGCCGCAGCCGTTCTGATGTAATCCTTCTTATATAAGCAGTCGGACAGAGGCTGATGAACTGCCTCCCCCTCTCTGGCCAGGACGCAGTCTTTACAGTCAATAAGATCAAAGAGCGTATAGCCTAAAGTTACTGTTTATTTTATTATGTATATATAGATATACAAAAATGTGCAGCAACAATGAGCATGTCACTTTTTGCGTACGTTTTGTCTCCTTCAGTAAGCACCAGCCTTTTGAATTCAATACAGGATGCTGACATTTTCAGATAATTGATTACATGTCTGGTACAATACAATATCGGTATGGTACAAGTTTAATGTATTTTTGTGAACTGCCTCAATGTATTTCCGACACAAAGGCACAATCAGATCATTTGATTCGACTGTGTAAGTAGTTTAAAGTTTGACTCAAAAATGAAAAAAACAGTTTGTTTCTGAAATGTTCTTAACATGATAATGTGGTTGTGTAATGTGGTCATGTGTCAGAAGTCCTCATATTACAAGAACAAGTAACAATGACTAAAAGTCAAAATGGAGCAAAATGACCAATTTGACAGCTTTGAAGATGTTACCTGTCTTGTCAGAGTTGCAGAGGATGGTCTCCTTCTCATGGGCCCCGGGGCCATGTCTCATCCACACAGAGATGGTGAAGGGTTCCTTCAGGCTGGTGCTCACCATGCCTTCGGGGACCTTGATGGCCTGGGTGCCATTGAACTCGAATACCTGGTCACTGTCGTGCCCGTTATCAGTGGGCAGCCCGACCGTCCAGTTGGCAGAGCTGCTCGGTGCAGGGAGGAGCTCCACTGTGCCAGAGCTCGCGCCTAGAAAAAATCAAAGAGGAGAGATGGAATGATATTGGGCATTTGAGAATTCAAATGCAACAATTCAATACAATAATTATTATTCCATCTGTTCACAATAACCATTCCATATGGAGCAATTACTTACCGCACAGCTTGTGCAGTGACTTCTCAGAATAGGTGTCACGGTCACAGCCCTTTCCGATATGGTTGGTTTCCAGTTCAATACTGGCCTGGATAGAGGTGATTGGTTCATCACAGGTCTCCAAGTGCATGCTGGGGAAAAGGGCCAGGCTACCTGTACCAGGCTCATATTCAATCCTCTTATTGAAGCCTGAAAGAGGAAGATTGAGTGTGAAAAGAAGAGTGAAAATGGATCCTTCAGCACAGCTCAGACAAAAGGTGAGCAGTCAATACAGAGGCTGTCAATAGTAATTGTCCAATAAGAAGTACTTCAGTTCTTTCACACATGAGAAAAGGCCTCCTTACAAAGAACTTAAATAACATTTGACAATGGCGACCTGTGTTAAGTTGGTGGATCGCTTTTGTTCATCAAAGACACATTTAACCAGTGATCGTTGGTGAGCTACAGCGAGTAGAAGTGCTACCTTGCCAGCTGGGTTTGCAGGTGGGTTTGACGCTGATCTTGACCAGCACGTCCTCTGAGGCACGGTTCTTTCCACAGTCGTAGGCGGTCACAGTCAGCTTATACATGCGCTCTTTGCCGTAGCTCAGTTTCTCTGTGTTCTTAATGAAGCCTGAGTAAAGCAAGTGAAATAACATTCAATGAGGGGAGTAAGATAACAGGTATAAAATGCATTTCAAGCAGCACTCCCAAGCATAGCACATCATGTTATATATTACATTAAGCAGAACTGCGGAATAGAAATCTATGCACAAAAAGAAGAATGATCAGTATATATGCTATTAAAATAATGTGATGGCATTTGCTTCACTAAGATCAGATGTTATCTCAGGTTAAATTATCACAGTTGAACACCTGAAATATTTGTATTTCCTCCAGCATCAGATCAGCTTGGATTTCTGATGTTTTTTTTCACTGGATCTTTCATTTTGTTTAACAAGACACAAAGAATCGATTCTACAGCCGGATACAAATCACTGACCAGCGTCGGTGACATTTCAAGGAGACTGACATTGTTTCGCAAGCTGCAGTGAATTTTAAATGACAGTCTTGTGGCACCATTGTTTACACAGATCAATAGGCGATGTGATGTGTTTTAATAAAATTGTGGCTCTTAGGCACACACTGCAGCATTTTCCAATAAGACTTAAGTGATGGTCCTCACCGTCTTTGTCGACGGTGAAGGGCACATCAGGGGTGACAATCTCGTAGTTGCAGATTTGGCTGAACTGGAACGAGCAGTCGGCGTCTACTGCCTCCACCTTCAGGATGCTGTCATACTTCTTTCCCTCGATAACGGTGGCTTTGTAGGACTTCTCCTTGAACACGGGTGAATACTCGTTGATGTCGTTCACTTGGATGTGGACGGTGGCCCTGATAGGGACATTTCAAAGTTAGAGCACTGGCAACTGGGGTTCAAAAGACGTACTTAATGAAAAAAACTAATAACCCAAGCAAAAATATTCTATTGTCACAGTTCATGATTATTTTGAGATCCATTTATTTAGTTGTGCTCATGAAGAAAGACAAAGAGAATAAAAGAAATGTCTTGTTCTGTGCAATAATAAGGGACATATCTGGTAGCTATGGATATGCATATGAAGCACTATGCTGTTTGATGTACGTCTTTTATTGTAAATTATTTTGTTGTTCCTGTGTTGTCTGCCAGTTGCAATAGACACAAAGGATATTTCTAAGAGCTATAAAGAAAATTGTCTTCTTTCATTCTTGTAACCATAGTTACCAACATATTTTGTACAATGATGCTTTGGGCGTCACTGCGTCAACAGTTCCAGCAAATCAATTTAAAAAACAATTTAGCTTTTGAATTCATGGTAAAATATAAAAAAAACATCACATAACAGTATTCACAGTCCTGTCGTTTACTTAGCTTTCTCTTTACACAGCAAATGGGTAATTTTCATGTGAGCTACACCTTAAGAGTTACATCTGAAAGTACCCTTATTTATCTTACATAGATATGAGAGGGCAGGCTTCTGTTCAATGTTTAATTAAGAATCATTATTTAAGACTTAAACTGATATGTTTAAGGGCTGCAGACTGTCTCTGAGTTTCTTCCTGCCAACTCTTAAGTTAATGTCTGTAGAATGTCTAAGTGAGGCCATGTGACAATAAAGCAGGAAAATTCTGGAGAATTCACCATGAAGTATGTGATGGACAAAAACTTCACAGGTAAAATCCTACATTATGTCTGCCCCCTGCATGCTGTAGCGTTAGTTAGACACGTTAGACTCAGTCCTGCTGCATTCTTCATATGTGAAAGGCAAAATGTTAATGTCTGAAGACAGTTTAAGAAAAGCTCAGGACTCAGTTTGAGCAAAGGGATTTGTGAACTGGCAGGGGATGACTCACTTGTGGGATTTCTTCATGTTGGCACCATCAGGACCCTCTCCACAGTCGTAAGCCTGGATGGTGAAGGTGTGCTCCTTCTGCAGCTCACAGTCCAGCTTGTCCTTGGCCCGGATGACCCCCTCGCCAGTGGACTTGTCCAGGACCACTGCCTCGAAGGGGACATTCTGCCCATGGATCCTGAAGCCGCAAATCTCACCTGAACACGTCAAGAGTCACAGGAGACTTTGCTCAGGTAACTGACAACAGATGTGAAATTACATTGTTCATAATGAACAATTATGTTCAAGCAAAGAAACCATAAATTCACGCAAAAAAAGAAAAGAAAAAGATCAGCCACTTTTTTGGGAGCCAGGGATTTGTAGATTGGGGTGGGTGGTGTCTGTGGAGGAAGCCCAAAAGCACTGTCATATGGGTGAGTAGTTTGGGGGGAGGGAGAGGGTGTGGGATATTTAGTATCAGTACACAAGTGTCTTTTCCAAGCCACTTAAAAACATTGCATCCAGTCATGCAGGCAGAAACCGAAAAGATGTGGACAGGCATTTCACAGGAGTACTTAAGATACTAAAAATTCATGAAACCAAGACAATAAGTAAATACATATAGAACAGTATTAGAAGATCATTTATCTCTGCTATGAATAAAATTACAAAAGATCTTATCAGGAAATAATTAAATAACATAAATAAAAGGAAAATTAAAGCAAATTTTTTATTCATTACAATAGAGAACATTGTGAAAGTGGGATCCAGCATCAATACAGCCATCAAACCCCAAAAGGTTTGTGAAAGAAAAAAAATCACAACACTTCCAATATAATATTAATTTTTCGCAAATTAAAAGAAGTCTTCCTGTGTAATTTTGCCTCTCACCCGAAACTACTGGAAAATGAATTCAAATAAAATCATAGAGAACTAAACCGGTAACAGTATTCAAACAAAAGTACTGGATGAGAACTGGGGTTAGAAATATCAACTTGCTTGACATCCACATCAAATGACAACTGCAGCCATGCTAATGGTAGATTAGTGGTGGAGTAATAACTCAAAGAGATCCACTGAGGCAAAGATGCAACAACAGAAACTTTGCAGCAGAGAGAGTTTGCATTGGTTAACAATCTCAGTAGCTTTCATTTGAATTCATTAAAGTGAGAAAAATCCACAGGAGTCACTGTAGCTGCTCAGATAGAGGCAAGACGAACGTGGTCAGTGCCTTTGAGACGTTCACTTTCAGAACGTTTCTTCTCTTTAAATATCAAATCCATTGGGAATTTCTGCTCCAATTGCCGAAAGAGTTCATAGGTTATGAAATCATCATCGTAATTTTTTATTTTACTGTCTTAAATTTGGATTGTATTGGACATAATGACAGCAGTGACTGAAAACTCCTGTTGTAAGCAGCGCTCTGTTTCCTGGTGACAGCTGAAAAACTGTTAGGGTCTGCAAACTGCAATGGATGTCTCATGCACAGATATTTCTAAGTTGAGGCAGCCCCACATCACACTTTTCATCCAGCTGTTGGAACGTCAACATATTCAGGGTGAGAAAACCAAAATCAAGAAAACCAAATGGGGAGATTACAGAGCATGGCGGGACTTGCTGTGTAAATGTGTGGATGCTGTTTGTTTTTGATTTGTTTTTTTGCGTTAGTGGGTTAATAGAAACAACTAAGCACAAGGCAGAAGAAAGAGCCCAAGATCACCTTCTTCAGTGAGGGTCACCTCAAAACTCTCTACAAGGAAGGAAGAGAAGATACATCCAGATCAGTTAGAGGAAGAGTTGGAAGCTCAGAGAAAACACAAGGAGGACAGGAAGGAAAGATCTACAGGCTCACAAAGCAAAAGATAGTCTGCCAGTTGAAAGAAAGGATGGATTTAAACATGTAAGAAAAGATGGATGAGTCTTGGCGGTTTACAAAACATCACAATTACATTTGTGGAAACTAGTTGATCAGTTTTTAATTTAATTAACTCCTACATCCAGAAGGATCCAACACTTTGAGACCTTTTATCCTCATTGAGGAAATCTTTTTCTTCTTTTTTCTGCCCTGTCAGGGCCTCCAGTGGGATGGACGTGGTCATTTTGTTTTCACCTACTAAACAAAATGGTTTTCACATTAGGGGCTGCTGTCTGGGGCCAGTCACACTGTGGGGGAGTTGCGGTTCACCACAGCTCTAATGACCAGCTCACATTAAAGCTTTTGGAATTCCTCAGCTTGTTACTGGTCACAAAGGCCTCTCATCTCAGGTCAGCCATCATAGAGACTGTTATTTATTTTACAATCTTGACATGCAGGGGTCATTTAGCTGTTGGTACTTCTAAATAAATAATAAATACAGTGACGTATAATAGAATTTATATTTACAGGCTAACGGATCCAAATGCTGTCGTGGTGTGGACATGTGCTGCAGGAACAAAATATATCTTTCCCTCAGCTTGTCTATTATTACTAATATATATTATTATATTTGTCTTCCATTGATGTGTTTTGGTTTTAACTAAACTTTATTTAAGGTCCAATCACCTGACCTCAAGTGCCACACAGACATGCACTAAACACACAGAAACAGTCTCACTGTATGGCCTGAATACACACAATACAAACCACTACAGGGGCTCCTCTTTCATTGCAAGCACACCTATTCAAGCTGATCTTAAATGCGGACTTAAGAGCCTGTGAATTGGCTTTTGCATGGCCTGTGGGTCAGCTTTACAGTGAACCCTGTTTGTTGGCACAGATGGGTCGACTAGAAAGAGGCTGGCACGGCAGAGTTGGTCACCCCTGCTGCCACGTGAGGCCAGATTGCTCGCTCTGTCTCCAGAGAGCTTGTTCACAGGGACACACAGTCCATTTGCAAAAGTCCTGCTCATCAACAAGGGAGCCCCTCCACTGAAAGAAGAGGGACAACCAGGCTCTCTATTCAATGCTAATTTACTGTGAAAGGAGACAAACATGCAGAGAATGGGAATATTATTAAATTCTTTGACCCTCAGAAATGAAGGGCCTCTTTTTGATGCTGTCCACCTTAAAGGCTGAGTGCTGCCAGGCCCTTTCAGCTCCTGTGAGCTATCATATTTTACACAACTTTGTGAAAAATATTACATTTGGCATCTCCACTGACTGACACGTGGATGTTAACGGATCACGCAAAATCAGGAGAAGTTATGCAAGATAAAATGGTCATATCTAGTGGGCTGAGAGCGCAGAGTGTGAGGAGAATAGCAGACAAAAGATCACACAACTCATGTGATGTGAAATGGTGGGAAATCATTAACACTGCTGTGGTGCTTTGAGTTCTGGCCAAAGTCAATCCTGATGTGATTAAAAAGCCCCAGAGCTAACGCTGCCTCGGTACATAAAGCACACTAATTGTGCCCCACCACTGGGAGGAGAAAAAGACATGAAAGGGTATTTTGATCTGAATATCAAAAGAGAATATCTGGTGGTTATGGAAACCAGCTGTGTGTCAGTATGACAGGCATGTCATAATAATTCAATTTGCAGAAAGCAATTGAGTCACACAAGTCTGCGACCAGAAGTGCCTTTAATAATTATTCAATTTGAGCAATGTTATTATCTCCCGCACTACTGAGACAGTGTTAATTTAATATAAGTGCACATATAATCTAAAATATAAACTATATCACAGAAAAATGAGAGTCATAGATTATAAAAGCTATTACCCTGGTTCTACTTCCATGTTAAATAAAGCTTTTTTCATTTTCAAGAATAATTAGTTTAATAAATGAATAATCAATTATTACTTATTATAAACAATGAGACTGAAATGTAAAAGTAGCTCACCTTATAAATTCTCTATCCATTACATATAACATGATCTCAAAGCTTTAATGGTTCAGAGTAATTTAAGTTTGCTTTCTCCTTTATTTAGTGTGAAATAAGAGAAGTCATTTTAAGTGACTTGAAGCTGAGGTATGAGGAACAACAGCAGCAGCAACATTACATCTCCTCTCTCACCTGCATAGCGTAGAGGAGCATCCTTGTCCAGTGCAATTAGCGGGGGGTCCAGTAGCACTTTCTCATCATTTTCCGTTACGATCCCATGGTACGTCGTCTCAATCCATGGTTTGTGCTTATTGACTGTTAAAGACAGAAAGAGAAAACATCAGTGTTCAGTATAGAGAAGAAAAAGTCTCTGCTGTGCTCAATGGCACAAATGAGCAATTTCCATCTTTTTTTCTGCACCGTTATTGGTAAATGTACGAGATTTAGGTTGTAATGCTTTTCCAGTCTTAATGACCACTCAAAGCTCATCGTAATACAAGTCACACACTGTATGAGTGTGTGTGTGTGTGTGTGTGTGTGTGTGTGTGTGTGTGTGTGTGTGTGTGTGCAACTTGTATTACAATATATATCATCACATCCCATTCACACACTAATGGCACAGCCATCAGGGCCCAAGAACACTTTGACATTAACATGCGGCTCAGGTGATCTGATCACGAGGCGATATTTTTAAGTTGGACAGTTCACACACGGCATCAGCATGCTTCTCCACACGAGTCCGCTTGTGATTGGATCTCTCACACTGAGAGGTTGAAAATAATTTCCCTTTCATTGTATAACTGTAGTGGTTCACACAACGTCAGCTGAACTTATGCGTCATGGGCCATTTCGAAGTGGGTGATCGAATGTTGAATAAATGCATCTTGAGTGTTCACAGACCTACCAGGTCTGAACAGAGCCTTGTACTTTCAGGGTGGTTTTGTGGAGCATGAGTTGTGCCGCTTACAGTTCAGTGAGCTAGTCAACCTGCGAAGCAATCATGTTACAGACAGCAAACTGTTGTAACTGGCGGCTGCAGAAAAAGCTGCAGTGAGTGACATATTTGGGCTGAATTAGAGAACAGCACTGACGCAGGGGATATGCAGCTCTCTTACAGCCAATATGCGCTCACTCCAGAGTGAGAGGAGAGGATAACATTCCTGTACTACTGATCTGCAGAGGCAATGCTAACTCTGGCTGACAGCTCGCTGTGGGGGGACAACAACTCCGGCACAGTCAACCAGACTATAAGCACATTTCCTGAGAACTACACATGCAAGACCTATATGTGCAAATCATTTATGTAATTCTTTTCCTGTATTTCAGAATGAAAGGTTTAGTTCAGGCACAGTCACTTTAAATTAATTAGGGCTGCAGGGCTGTAACTTTTGTGCAAGACTTATTTACAAGCAATGATACTGTTTTACACTTATTGAGCCATGGCTTTGAAATGTTTTATCAGTGTTTTCTCAAAAGAATATTTTTGTTTTTAAATTATGGTTGCAGGAAAACCAGAAGAACAAAAATCTCTTTAATAATTCATAAAGCTTCACAAACTGCAAGTAGATGTATGAGAGCTTTCGGTTGGATTTTGAGTGGAACATCCCAATGCAACACAGGAGCTGTCAAGACGTTATCACAGTTCACATTAAGTGACCTCAGGTGGTGAAAAACTTCCTCCAGCCCACCTTCATCAAATCACTTGTAAACACGAACATACTCAGAGCATAACACAAATCTCAACAGGCAAACTTGTTTAAACAGTCAGTGGTTTAAGTGTTTAAGTGTTGCAAAAAGCTGGTGAAATTCAAGTATCTGCTGAGGTTGTGAAAACAGAAATGTTGTTGGCACATGTGCCTGTGGGTTAATGTGTGAACTGCAAGTATGTGTATTTCAAAGGCTTAGAATGAAGTAATGTACTCACCATTTAATAATTAAGCATCGCAAAAACTTGTATTAATCATTTCTTATCTACTAACCCAAACAGCTCTGTAAGGTACACAACATCGCAAAATGATTTTTCGCATTTAAATCCTAACTGAAATATGTTTTGCATAGTGAATCCACAGTTTTTTCAAGGTTTGAAAAAGCCTCAACATCACACATTCATTATCTGCCTGATAAAATGTCTGATGTTGAATAACATAATATGCCAGAGTTCTATTCTGAGCTTCAACCAGTAGCCAGATTTAAAGGAAATCTACAAAAGCGTAAATAAACGATTGCAAGGTTTTCATAAGGCATTAAATGTCAATCTGCCAAATCCAATTTCAGCGAAGCAAATGAGTCGTGTTGTGTCATTACATAATTTAGTGTAATTCTCAGTGATTATACGATCATTGAAAATTAATTACAAGCTACTTGCACAGGATTGGTTTGACGTGGGCATCACCATGAATGGGAATTACCCAACAAACTATGTTTTTTTAGAGAGTAGACATGCTTTCAAAACTCATCAATGCACAAAGTAAGAGTAGGTTTATGCTTAATGACTTCAAACAACATTAAACATGGATGAAATATATATGCATGTATTGGATGTCTTTATGATCGATTAGACATGAGATAAGACAGATAATGAGGTGATGGACAACAACTGAACAACAAATGTGTGGCTGGTGTACTGTATGTGCTCGTAAGCTAATGATGTAAAACTTTTTTGTTATTACAAAAGGAAAAAATAATTTGACAAAAAAAAGATATAGACTCAAACTGTGTTTTAAGAGGAGGTTTGGCCAAAATAAACAACTTTTCACTATATGGCTGAGCTTCATAAGTATTTCCTATCACTTTAAATCACTGGTTAATCTTGTCTTGCACATGCAGTGCTTAAGTGCTGTGTTTATCGTTGATTTGGAATTGATCAAGCCCAATAAGTCGTCTGAAGTGAAGTGGATGTCTTTAGACAGATTGCCAGGCCAGACTACTAAAATAATCAGCTTTAACATCCACAGTCACAGTGGCTTTTATACAGGTCCATCAGTTGTTAGAGGTGCACTGAACCAGGACCAGTACTGAATGGTGCAACATCAAGCAACAATTTTAAAGCTCCTGGAGGTTGATACCAAACATTAGAGTCTAATTGTGACCAAGTAAAGCAGCTAAATGACGGAGATGGTCTGTGTCTTCTCTGGTTGGTCTAATTTAATGTTGTTTCCCGTAATCGAGCATGTCCATCTAAACCTTTTGGAATTGGCCACAAAATAAACTTTACTTTAATTAATTCCATCCACTGTAAACAAGCACACAAACTTAAGACCAGTTGACAATGGTAAATCTATATTTGCTACTTTGGTAGTCAGATACTTGGCCACAGCTAATTAGCTGTGTGTTTGACAACAACACTCTGAGGTGAACAGGGCAGATCAATCATTACAATAGATAGATATGGTCACAGGTGGCAAATTGTTAGGGCTGGGGGATAAAACAATAACAGTAATCAACAGTTACATAACTTAAGTCCAATACACAGCAATATAATGCCACAGAGGAGTTTAAACACATAATTGATCAAGTATTTGTCATTCTATGCTTATAAAAAGACAGTTTAAAACCACAAACTCCACATAGGGGCAAAAATGGGCTATTCAACTTCAAAGAAATAGTAATGTGACACATGGCCCAGCCCTACAAATTGTGAAGCACACAAAATGTGATGTAGTGAATGTAGGAGGACAAAAGATGCAGAACTGCAAACGGCACAACTGCTGTGCATCACCATTTAAATAACAACTCCTTTCACTCTCACACACACCTCCCCTAAAATGAAATCTAAAGCTTGATTTTGTCTTAAGCGTGAAATTCTCACATACAATGTGTGAAATTGCCAACAAGGCCATTTTGACAAGACAGCTTCATCATCTCCCATTGAGCCTGCAGTGAATAGGAAGAACGTTTGTTGTGCTGTGACACAGCGCAATAGAGAGGTGATTCATGGAAACTGGGGGATTTTGTTGCATACTATATACATTACCTGTGAGAGGATTTCTATGATTATAAAGGAAGACTTTGCTCTTTAATGGAGGGACGAGTTTGTTTTCTTCAGGAGAGGCAGCTTTAGGATTTAGGATGGAATGAGATTAGGAGAGGGGCTTTGAAGTGATGCAGTCTGAGAGGGGGCCTGCTGCTGCAGCTCTGAGAATGTTTCATATGGAAAACTGCCATTTTCTTAATTGAACTAAATTAGAAAACCACTCCTCCTAATGCAATGCATACTCACTACCTACCTAATTATAACCTGCAGACTCAGCCCATCGCTCAAATCAAAGAGAATAATTCAGAGATAAGATGCAACTCCTTCTAATGAATAATGATCAACATTAAACTGATCATGAGGCTTGAGAAGCACATGTGTTTGTGTTGTATCATATGTAAATTAACATTATGTTCTTAAAGTAATCTGGTCAAATTGAAGGCCTGATTCACATGTGGCACATGCTGCTTAATCCCATGTGGAGGAACAGAAAGAAATCTTAGCCCTTAATCCTGATAACCAACCTCATTTTAAGGAGATCACAACAATAAATGTTCACAGCAAAGCAAAAGGAGGCCATGTTCAACTGTCTGTGAAAAACACTACCTTCTCAGCAACATTTAGGAGGAATATAGAGAACAATAATGAAGTAACAATCTACTGTACATCCTTTACAGCAACCACTGAATGCACAGTATATTGAATTAATATTATCCTGAAAACAAGAAAGAAAAAAGCTGAGAGAACAATAAGTCAATCATTTGTCATTGCAATAAGGTTAAAAAAGAAAGGATGGTTGCCCATGAATAAAATTAAATGCGTCCTTTTTTTGCTTAAGTGCAGACAGATTAGAGAAAAGTGAATAGAAAAGGGAAAAAAATGGTAAAAAACAAATAAACAAAGCTAAGGGTCCATTGCAAAGAAAAGTACATTTTGATCATCCCACATATATCCAAAGAGGCTAGGTTTGAGGAGAAACATGGACTTGGTGACCATCCATTGTATTTGTAGCAACAGAATCATTTCAATATAAATATTAGATGGGGAGTTAGGTATAAATACACACATATAATGGGCCGATATTGCTCTGTTGCTAAATAATAGATATTACCCCAGCAGTGTCATCCTCTGCTAAAGTAAAACATTTTCCACTAACCACGTTTACAAGTAGATTATAAAACAAAGAGTTTGTATTGCAGCAGTTACCACAAAAATAAGCCCTCCTATATACTGTATCACACACCAAACAAATGAAACCCTGATCTGTGAGATGAGCAATGATGACTGGCTAACATCTGGAATCCACTTAAAAGATGTCCAAATGATGCTGAGGAGAGAGGGA